ATCCCTGTTGGGCTCTGTTTCTGTTTGCTTTGTGTATGGAAGTCCTTCTGGAAAGCTTCAGTGTGGATTTGGATCTGTGTGTGCTAACCAAACTGCTGATACCTCTCTACTCTGCTTTTGCTTCTTTCCTCTACTTACAAAGCACCTCCTAAAATCTCATTCCAGACTACTTTACTGTCTTAATGACTTTCTCATTTCTGGGACAAAATGCCCGACACCCAAAGTTAAACAAGGAAAGGTTCACTTCTGCTCACAGTTTGAAGAGGTTCATTCCACTGTTGTCTGGCTCCAAGGGTGGTATGCAGAGGAGCATGGCAGAGGGGGAACAGTTCATGGCAGGGTAGGCAGGATACAGAGAGCAGCAGCATGAAGCCTCCCTTTTCCTTTTATTTCATTCAGACTACAAGGTTGATGTCACTCACAAATGTCCAAAGTGGACCTTCCCATTATCTACACCCAGAACTATGCTAAATCAATCAGTGGAGTATTTTAATTATCAAACACCCTTAAGCCTAGATCCAGCCACATCCAAAAAGCCCCATCTATGAGTGCATGAGGCTTTGCAGGGGGACATCTAGATACAAGCTATAACTTTCATTAAATGAACAAGAGAAGTCTGAGTTTCTGTGTTAAAATAGGATAACATTTACCAGTGGAGAAGGCCAGGACTTTGAGACTAAGCAAGACTATCAAAATAAGATTAATCTGGGTTTGTGTATTTAGGCTATGCCACTTATTAGTTGTGTGTGATGTTAAGCAATTCATTTAACCTCTCGGAATATCAGTCACCAGATCTGTAAGATGGGAATAATAATAACTACATCAGAGAGTTAAGTTAAAGGGCTGAGGGTTAAATTAAACATAGGTGAAATAATTTTGTGATCTTTTGAATCAGGAGAGAAGGCCCGGCACTCTACTAGAAGTATTCATTATTTTTTACTGCAGATGCCTCCATCCCTAAACAGAAAGTCTGACACTAAGCATGTGTGAGCCTTTCTCTTTTACATAAGCAACTTTATCCATACCCTTAGAGGTTCGATTGGTGCAGTTCCCCCTTTTACTCCAGAAGTTCTAATAAAAGTTTTGTTAGCTTTTACTAGTTCTAATCAAGTTCTAATAAAGTCTCTTTCATGTGGCATACTTTGCCTCTTTATGACTCCTATCTCAAATAGAGAAGGCTGAGCTGGTAACACCAAAGGCACTCAAAGTATCCAGCAGCTGGAGTTGGTAACACTGAGGGTGGCAAGTAGTGGAGACTGGCAGAGAGCAGCAGAGAATTGCTGGAAGGAGCCATCTCTGGTGGCTGGAAGACTCCCTGAGGCCTGCTGGTAGCTGCTGTCTCTGGCTTCCAGGAGGATAGTTGAGGGCAGTTAATGTCAGGAGCTGATAGCTACTGGCATGCACAACTTAAGGCTGCTAATGCTAAAAGAGCTACACTTTACCTGTTTGTGACTTCTATTCAAATCGAGCAAGAGGACCCTCAGCAGCTTGGTGACACTTTTAGCCCCCTTGCAATATAGAAAGGTATTATTTATTATAGATTTTGCATCTACATAGAAACATAGAAGATGTTACATCTACATAGATGGCCTGGAGCCCAGAGCAATGTCCTGTACAAGTCCATATCCAGAGGCTGAGGAATTTGTTCAGGGAGACTGAAGGGTTTGCCTGGCAAAGCCCTAGGGCTCCTGACTGAGGCTGGAGGATGCTCTGGGAGGTTGTGTGGCAGGTTCTGAAGGCTGAAGAATGTGTGTCAAAAGCCAAGCGATGACAGCCAAGGAGAAAGCAAAGACCAGAGTTCCTCCAAGGAGAACAGCAGCCATCCTTGGCAAAGGTGAAGACTGGAGCTCAGCCAAAGAGAAGAGCCTCTCAGAGGAAAAGCAGCCAGAACAAAGAGCTTCCACCGTAGATCAGTTGAAATCCTCCCCTCCTGCTCTCCTTTTATACTGTTGCGACTGCCCTCCTTAAGGTAGGTCTTCCAAGCAAAGAACCATGCTAACTCAATTCAGCTGGATAGTCCCACTCAATTTGACACCACTCCACCTATAGGAAAGTCTCTTTATGAGGGCAGGTTATATCCTGCTGATTGTTGGGCAGAGGGGGCAGTATGGTGTGAGGGAGGGGTGCTGAGGATTAGCACAGTGGCTTTGTGATCAGTCACTGCATCATAACAGCCTCCTAGGGGAGAAATGGGCCATATCATGAGGGACCACTGTGTCTTGGGCACATTTATTGTTTGCGTTTTTCTTTATAAGCTTCTTCATAGACTTTTTCTGCCAGTAAAAGAGTTCTTGAGGATATCTGCTTACTTATTTGTTGTTTTAAATTGTTACTTATATCAAGTCTTTATTCATTCTCAATCGCTGTCTTTCTTTTTCTGGAATATGTGTTTATCTTTAGTTTTGCTTAGATTTTCTAGCTCTGTTTCTTATTCTTTTGGCCCAAGAATGATTGTCTTTTAAGTCTGCTTCTCCCTTGAACAGTATTACCCATTTTGCCTCTATATCCAGTACTATCCTGGCTTTTTTTTTCTGTTCAGAATTTCAGAAACAGTTCTGGGGTCCATTATGACCTGACAAGCAACTTAAGACTGAGAATGGGCAAAGTCATAACTAGAAATGAACCTAGTCTTGGTAAAAGAGGGAAAGGTAAGGGTCTCTAAGACATCATCTAGCAGAGTCTGGAGCATGTCCCATTGGGTGAGGGTGCTAATATCCTGCTGATGAGCTCTTCCTTTAACCAAATTCCTTTGAGTGTTTGTACAAAGTACGTGCTTGAGGATACAGAATAATTCTCACAATGAAGACTGGAGCTGTCAGTGGCCCTTTCATTCCAAGTTAAGATGAATATGACTTGATACAAAAAATCCAACATGTTGAATCAATTCAATTTTAGAAGCTACAGTGATGAGGGGACCAGGAGGATTGTTGTTCTCCTAAGCATTTTCTTTTCCTCTTGGCTTAGTGTGCTATAGTCTGACAAACAGGGACATAGGTGGGAAACCCAGACCGCATCTTTGCTATCACTATACTTTATCACCAGTGGATTTTTTCTGAAGCAAAGAATTTGACCTACAACCATGTATAAGACCAAGAAACTCAGACCAAGAGAAATGTACCAGTATCAGCCTCTCATTAAGGAATTATTGAGAGTGGAGTAGAGCAGGGACTCCTCATTCTGGTAGGGCAGAAAGAAATGGGTGTCCCCACCTTGACTCTGCTAGGAAAGTTGGTCACCCTAAACCAAGAGGAGAGGTGCCATTTGTCCATGGTTCCTCTCTCATCACACTCTTCCCAAGGCAGGCTATTTGAACTAGAAGTTCTCTTTCCTAAGGTGGGTCACAGAAATGCCGATTTTCATCTGCCTTTCTGTCTTGGGGCTGGGCCATAATATTTCCTTGACATACCTTGTCTGACAGTAGATCATAAAAGCCCCATCTTTAATGGACAGGAAGAATCCCAGCAAGCAGGCCTTGCTGAATTTCCCTTTTTCTTTTAGTGTTAGATCAAATTCCTTCTGTCCTAACAAATTTCTGCACGTTTACCCGTTCTTCAGTCATGCTTATACAGTGAAATAACCATGAGCATTCAGAAGGCTGGAGATTGGAGGGCTTAATATATGGGGGTTCCTAAAGGGTGGCACCCCCCAGAGCATAGGTATAGGAGCTCCCTGTCCCTGTGCTTCACCCTGTTCATCTGTGTCCTGTGTAATATCCACATAATAAGCTAGTAAATGTAAGCATTTTCCTGAGTCCTATGAGCTCCTCTAGAAAATCAGGGGTTGCAGGAACCCCAACTTATAGCCAGTGGGTCATAAGCAACAGGTCACTTGTTATGTGATGCAGGGTAAGTTTATGGGACTGAACCCTTATTGCATGGGTTCCACACGATCTTCAGATGGAGAGCGTCAGAATGCATTTCATTTAGGAGATGTCCAATAGAACTGGTTGCTTGCTTGGCACAAGGTGAGGGGAGCCCCACACATCTGGGGCTCTGCATTGTGAGTGTAGTGGAGAAACTGGGCTTGGGTTTTGTTTTTTCCTCTATATCCTTCCACTCCCGAGGCTCTGGATTGGCCATGGGAGAGACCTCTCCATCCTGCAAGCTGGAAGGAGTCAGGGCTCCTTGAAGGCAAAGGCCTTAGGGCAGTGAGAGGGATGGATGTGGTTGCAGTCCATGCCAGGGGCCAGTAGGTGAGTTGGCCATGCAGGGAAGTGGACAATGTCTAGTCCAGCCAGCAGGCCTGGGGCAGTAGCTGGAGATACTCCTGCATTCTAGCCCCTTGCCACTGATGAGGAACATGAATACCCTGTTGTAAGAGAGCACAGGAAAGTGCCCTACCGCTGACTGGGCAGCAGCCACTCCCCTGGCACAGTGTCCAGGAGAAGGACACTATTTACCTCTCTAAGTTGTGTACTAGATGGGGCTGGAGGTGTGGCTTAGTTGTACAATGTTTATCTTGCATATGTGAGCGTGTGGGTTTGATCCTCAGCATTGCAAAAATAAATAAATTAGCACATTAATAAATGATAAAAATTATATACCAGATGGCTATTAAGGTTAACCTTTAAAATTCTATTTTTTTTTGTATTTAAGAAGTCAAATATCCAAAAGCCCAAAGTATAACTCCTCAATAGATTGTCCTCCTAGTAGGTTTTCCTACGTGGAAATATGCTTGATTTCTCCCAGCCAGGTGACCTACAGGAAGAGAAGCCCTTGTCCCCTGTCCTGTATTTGCAGTAATTTGCATACTAATGACAGAGCAGTCCCAGACCAGTTGGTTGGATAATGAACTTGGTTGAGCCATGTTGTGCCAGAGTAACCAGTGTGGACGCCTGTGGAATGCTGAATATCAGTTGGAAAGAGAGATTAATCATTAACAAAGCCCATTAATTCACTTGGTATTTCAAAGCAAAAATTACCTTTTTATATATAACACAAGGAAAGATCAAATGCACATATTTAGCATCACTTACTAAAACATCCAGGAATTCTATTATGCTAAAAAACAGATTGTTCTCACTTGTGAGTTTGGTTTCCAGATCAGATTAATACAACAGGAAAGTGGTTAGCTATTAAAATCTGAATAACATCACATGAATGTCATTTCCTCACTAATAACACCAAAATCAAATAAGCTGGAGCTGGATGAATAGTACTGTTAAAATAATTTGAAAGTCAGAAGGCGCTGTACACTATTATGACCACTACTGGCAAACGGAGCCCTGACATCTTTCTGGTAGACGGGGAGAAAATGAAAACTTGCATGGAATAGGGCAAAAGTATTGAGTAGAATATTTTGTTCGTACTTCCGTTTTGAGGAGTAACTGATGAATCTTCTGATATGAATCAGAATTGTAGTGGGAAACTGAAAATAAAAACATAGCCCAGGGGAGGTGAGAGAGTCAGAGGCATTCTCTGACACTGCAAGTGTGTCACCTCCTGTGGAGAAAGACACCCATGAGCCCTGTCACTCCTCATGAAAGAGACAAAGGGCTGTAAACACCATAGGCTGTGATCATGGATGTCTAATGAGATGAGATATTCAACTACTCAATCCATATAGATGACAATAGTTCACATGGATCTGGCTCTGAGCTGGGGATGGGGTGTGTGGGGGGGGCGGACAGGCAGGTGAAGGCAGGAACTCACAATGTAACAAGATGAATGGACAGGTAAGAGAGCAATCAATTCTGTGTCACAATGATGGGAAGGGAGGGCTTCGGGCTCCTCCATGGAAGGAGGCATGTCTGCAGAAGAGGAGGCCATTGCCCTGGGTCCTGGGGAACCAAAAGTGCACCAGGAGTGGAATCAGGAGTATGTAGAGAGTGACAAGTGGCTGGATATTACTGGGAATTGTGGGAATTATTGTGGGAAGGGGAGCAAGTGTCCAGAAGTAAAAATGGACAGGAAGATAGACTCCTAGGCATGGGGTTCTTTGCAGACTCAGCCCTTGGAGTTCTTTACAAATATTTCTTTGGACTCCGTACTCCCCTGGCCTTCTTGTCCTTTTAGAGTGGTGTCCTCAGTGTTTTGAGCAATGTTTCTTTGTGGCTCCAGCCTCAGTATCCCATCAGGAACTGGTCCTTCTCCTGCGATCCTGTCCCTGTCTACTCTCCTGAGATGGGTCAGCCACAGTCTCACCTGTCCCCTGACACGGCTGGTTCAGGGGGGAGTATGTGACCCAAATTGCAGTCACCCCAGCCTTTCCTTTCCAGAGTTCCTTCCCCAGAGTGGTGAGAGGGATGGAGCCCCTATAGTGGGAGGCAAAGAAGTTTTAGCTCTAGCTGCCAGGGCTGGTTCTTCCCCAGGAAGGAAAGTGGTGAGCAAGAGAGGATGCTGGCACGGGTGAAGGCAAGGAAACAAAGTGTGTGCAGGTGCCGGTGGAGCCCAGGCTCTGCTCCAGGTTCCCTCCCGTCCAGCAGCTCCCTGCTCTTCTACATTTGGGCGTTGAGCCATTCTTTGAATTCCCTGTGCTTCCTTCTTAGTTTGAGTGCGAGAGCTTTCATGTACAAAGTAAAAAATCCTTATTAATTTGCCCTAGGATTTTAAGCCGAATGTTTAATTTTATTTGTTTTCACTCCTTCATGTTTAAAATCAAGCATTGGCAGCTGTTAAATTTTCTCTGGGTATAGCTTTTGATGTAACATCACCATTACACTATTTCCTTAAAGTCTCATGGGCTCACAGGCAGGACCTCTGGAAGCTGACTTGGGACTTACAGCCGACTTACTGCTAGGAGGTGGGATCCAGGCTGAAGAGGCTGTCACTGTGGTGTGACTTGAAGGTTGTATCTCCCTTGCCTGATCCTCCTTCGACTCTCTCTCTGCTCCCTGGTTGCCATGACGTGAGCAGCTGTTTCTGTACCATGGCCCTGTGCCACGCCATCCTGCTTTGGAACTAGCTGACTATGGACTGAAGTGTGAGCCAAAATAAATCTCCCCTCCCTTAAAATACTGGTATCAGTTATTTTGTCACAGTGATGAAGAAAGTGACTAAGACGACTATCATTCGCAGCATTTCATTGATGAGGAAACAGGTACAGAGTGCACACAGTTGCTGAGATCTGAAATGGGTGCCTGGCAAGTCTCAACTACTTTGTACTTCTTTCTCCGTGTGACAGTGAAGGTCAACCCAGAAGCCACTTGTCCTCTAGAAGGCCACAGAACACAGCAAAAGCCCTGGGGAAGGCTTGTCTTGCCCAACACCTGACGCTCAGGCCCTGAGACGCCCAGTTCCTACGGCAGAACAGCTCCCAGGGGACAGACTTCTCACCGATGGTGGCTGTGTGCAGCACCATCCCCAAACCCAGTTAGAGGAGGTGCCTGTCTGCCCTCTGCACCTGGGTTGGTTCGGAACCACACTGAGGGGAGAGCAGGAGTCCTTCAAGTTGGCTGACACTGAACAACAGTATTACATGTATCCTTTGCTATTTATTGGATGTCTCCAAAACATAAGAGTTTGGTCAGAGTCTCCATGCCCCCATGATTTTTGCCAACTTCTTAAATGTCCAGGGTTTTTGTTGTTTCCATCTTCACACCATATTGCTTGGCTTTGGCTCCAAGGGCTCCTGGGTTTTTACTGCAAACATGGTTGTGTCTGTTGCACTTCTGCATAAGCCATCTCCTTGAGTCCACGCAGCAGGTCTGAAGCCACTCACAACAGCGTCTCCAGAGCCATATAAGCCTCAGCCTCCACACTCACGGTAGCTTTCTGGGTTATACCCCTTCTCAGAAAACGCTGCATCATTCAGGTGGACACACAGTCACTCCAAGTCCCCTTTCCACTCACTGCTGATCTCCAAGATGGTGTCTGGGTGGTGGTGAGAGGAGAGGCAGCGTGGGAGTGTCCTTGCTAGGGACCTTGCTGTGTCTGTTCTGAGCTGCTGGCATGGGATGGTCACGAGGCAGGTGACCACAAGGGTAACTTTAGGAGGCCTTGGAGGGGGCTGGAATCTGCAGCCTGGTTCAAGGCCTTTGTTCCCTCAGCCCTGCCCAGGATGGCCTCACAGTCCACATCCAGGTGTGTGTTAGTCTTGATGCTTCATGTCCCTCCCATGGGGGGCTCCACCCAGAGGACCTAGGGAACAGGGATACCATGCCAGCTGTGGCCGCATTCCGCAGGTCCTGCAAAACCACCCTGGAGGGGCTCCCCCAAGGCCCCCAAAGGGAGGCAGCCCCAAACCCTCTGCACTCGGCTCCTCCATTGGCTTGCTTGATAGACACGGACCAAGAACACAGCAAGCACAGCACAGGGGTCCTGCCCTGTGTCCTTGTGGGTGGCGCACATCCCTCCCTGCCTCTCCTTTCTTCTTCTGTTCTCCAAGGTCAGACATGAGAATCTGCTTTCCTCTCCTCCCGGACAGGGACTTGCTACACTTTTCCTCTTCCTTCTCTATAGGTAGAACATTTTAGTCTCTGAACTATCTATAGAGCCCGTACATGGATCATCTCAGCCAGTCTCAGCTGCACTGCATCTCAGCACAGTGGGTGACATCATTCCCACTTTAGAGACGAGGAAGGTGAGACTGAGGGAGGTCGCACAATATTTCTTGGGCCATAGAGTGAGTTATCAATAAGGCAGAAACCACTCTTTCTGCTTAAAGGGTAGCAAGACTCCTGCCTTTGTGTACAAAACTGAGGTTCCATCCACCTGTAGGAGAGACCTGCCAGTAAGGGTTGGGCCGCCGGGGTAAGGGACCAAAGGCTGGGGTTGCCTCTGTGGAGCAGAAGAGAAAGCAGTAAGAGAATCATTATGTACAAATCATAGAGAAGTCCTTTTACTCTTGTGTCAGGACTCAGAGGGAGCTGAAGCTGAACCAGAGTGATTTCTTCCTTCCACCATTTAAACAAATACAGTAAAAGAAAGTCTTAGGGCCCTCGGTGTTTATCAGCATTGGTGGGAGTGGTCATTTCCAGGAGTAATGCACCCAGATATGTGCACTATGGACCTAGTGTGTCTGTGTTTCCTCAGCTTCAAATTCAGCTTTGTTTGGAATTTTAAAGGACTGCAGGTTGTTTAAAGGTTGAGTGAAATTCCCAAGACTGCTAACTGGTCACAGTCTACTAACTCTCATAATTAGCACAAGACCACTGTATAGTGTAAATGCCATTCAGCAATGAGTAACTGCTCCATTTCAGATGTTTACTTAAGAGGGGGGCTTCCATTCACAATCCACGCTTCTGGGAATTTCACCTACTTAATTCAGAGAGACAAGAGGAGAAGGTGAGTGAGGTCTCAAGTCTCCCTTTCCTCTCCCTTCTCCATCCTCCCAATCCCAGCCACTAAATCCCTTCACACTGTGAATGACTCGGGTCTGAGCTTTATCCGGAGACTGCATGACCTTGAGAAAGTCACACCCCGAACTTGAGTCCCCTGCTGAAAACTGGGGGGACACTGAGCTGAGTGATGACAAAGGTCCTTTCTACCTCAGTGGCTGAAGGACTGTTGAAGATGTCTCTTGCCTCGTGTAATTCAAATGTATTTATTACTTAATCCAAACCACAGTATGAGCCAGACTCCAAGCAGACGGTGGGAAGGGTTCCAATTCCTAGCAGTTGTCTGCGTGTTACCTGTCTTTTATTGCAACGAACAAGTAAAAGAAGGCAGCTTGTGCAAAATCTAGTATTAAAGTATTAAAATGTTTAGGAAGAAACATTTAGAAAAATGGGCAGTGGCCAACAGCATGGTCAGAAAGTAAAACTTGTCAGCAAACATGCCTGGCTCATATGTGTGCACAACAGTCTTATCCCCTATACTTTTATTTTTTAGGGAGAATATGAGGAATATTTTGGGAGCCAAATGAGCCAGCCACATGTAATGGCTGAAATGGTTGCTGCATGGATGGATGCGTAAATGCCCAGAAGGCCAACTTGCACACTTCCCAGGGGTGTGATAAGCTGGGGAATGGACAAAACTTGGCAGTCTTTTGGGCAGTGAACTGGACGTGTACATATGGAGGGACTGTAGGGACCAGCCCACCTACCTGTGAGCAGGGTTTAGACGTGGCTCTCCGTGGCAGACACACCTGTCTGACTCTCCTTGTCTCTGCCTGGGCCTGGCCTATCTGTCTCCACAGCACAGTGCTTTATCCTGCCCTTGAGGTGCCTTCTCCTTGCAGCTCTCCACATCCAATTCACGTCTTCAAAGCCGCGCTTTCACCTGTGCTGACGGCTTGGCCTCCTTCATAGAGCAGCGACCACAGCCTGCAGACTCGATTTTCGGGGGTTCTGCACCTCAAGAGAGCAGATGCCTGGCTTTGTTGCCCCTGACCCCACCCCCAGGCCTGAAGCCCTTGGAGGACAGGGCCCCCGTGGCTTCTTCCACCCCAGTAGTGGCTTATGCACAGCAGACACCCGACCTCTGACAAAGTGACAAGCTATAGATCAGTAGTGACAGACACGTCTGGAAGACTGCACTTATTAGAAAATGCATCCCAACTACCCCCTGTCCTAAACGCTTCTATGGGAAGATCTGACTATGTGTTATCCCGGCAAATGTGACTGTGTTTAAGGGCCAGCTTGCCCCCTTGGGTCTCACCTGAGATGTAGTACTCTGCCCTCTCACCTTTACAGGGCACATGCCACAGTGACATCCCGAAGTCATGGCTTTTCATAGGAACAGTTGGATCTGGTAACCCACCCACCCAGTTCTCTGCACCCTAACTTCACCAGGCCGTGTAGACAAAAGCATTAAATAATCTTTTTACATTCTCCAGGTGGCACTGTACATAAGGCTCCTGCCAGGACCTCAGTAAAAAACAATGAGCCTCCAGGGCAGGAGGAGGGCAGAGCCGGGAGCCTCACTCCAGTCAAGCCATCCTCAGTTTCCCCAGGGCGACTCCTGCTTCACCCCGGGACCTACCCGCAGCGAGCCCCGGGGAACCTTTGTTCCAGGCCACCTCCAAGGACCTGCGTCCCCCGGCAGGGCAGGACCCGCTGTGCGTGTAGTGGGCGCCGCGGGCACCTATGCGGTCCGGGCAGCGGAGGGAGTGGGGGTG